ATATTCGGACAGAAAGATAGACGCCGACAAATCGTTACATTTCTTTGATATAAAAGTAACGTATCAGCCCATATATGTCCCACAGCTGGGCAAAAGCTTCCTCTGTATTCATTAGGGCATAACCAACCATGTGAAACTAATTTTGAATTAAATTTGATTTTTTTTACGAAGCGCGCTCACACCAATAGCCAAAAAGCGACATGATGAAGTTGTTTGCAAAGCAGCCAACTTGGACCAACTTCTTGGTACTGTTTTCCTTCACCGTTGCGCAAGCGATAAATCGGCACATAAATTAACAATTTCACTGGTGCTGGCACCAGGGATCCAACTCAGATTGCCCGAGTATATCTTATCCTTGAAACGGCTCCATCGATTTTCATGTAATTTAGTGTGTGCGTAGATTTGGAAGCGAAAAATCGATCTAGCTAGGTTTCATTTTTAGAAAATGTCCTTTTATCTCTGTTTTCAGGGAATGAAAAATATCATTCGCAATTTTTATTAATTCGTAAATTTCGCTGCAAAAAAAATGTTATAATAGCTCGGTCGGTAATCGGGCGGCCCCGAAACAGAGGGCCGTGGTTCGTGTCACGATCATTTACACACTTATTTTTTACTTTTTTTTTCGATTCATCTTTGCTTTCTTTATTTTTTATTTTTTGTCGATCCAGATGATTTTTTTATTTTTCCCCGTTTTTTAAAGTTCTTTCTTTTGTGAAAACACCATGTCATATTTTCTTATTATTACGTCGGTAAGATCGAAAAATATTACGCATATTTCATTACTCAGTAATTTGTATCTATGTAATTTCCAAAAAACGGGTATGAAAAAAGGTCCTCCAGGTACTATTAAATTCACATAGCAAAATAATTAGCTCGAGTGCGCAAAATAATTAGCTCGAGTGCGTAGGATGTCAACAACGATAAGTTGGATATGCCGAGCGTCTTATCGAAATGTGACGGTGCACCCAAAGTAGTGGCTGGTTTAAGCTTACAATCACAAGTTATGGATTCTATTTGGATTAGTGGTAAACTGCAATGTATCCACCTTCCGCACATCCAAAATCACTGTGTCACATTTACGCCGCGACGCAAGCTAGCAGAGCAGATACGCCATTTGTCAAAATCTTATGAAAACAGCGTTTCGTGCATATTGCGGTTAAATTTAGAAATGCATTAAGGCGCGGCTCTATTTTATTTACTGACGCTGGCGGGTATTCCATTTGACGTAAGTATGTGCAAGTAAATGACGTGGTGCATTAGCGAAGAGTTCTGTGGTGGCGTAAAGTCGATTCACGTCTGCTATCGGAAAATTTCTAAGTTGCCCGAGGAAATTACAACGTTTCATCATTTACTGCGGTGAAATTGATTAACAATTTATATTAAAACACTTGTGTAAGTACCAGGTAATCTCTACAGAGGACTGCATATTTTGAAAAAAAAAAAAAGGATTCAGGCTGTTAAATAATTGTCCATCTTAGCAAATTAACTATTTATCCCATAGTTTCACAAGTATCATGATTGGCTCGATGGCGCCGGTGCTATTGGCTACAGCGTCGAGGGTCGTGGGTTCGATTCCCACACGGGACAAGTATTTGTGTGACCCACAAATGACTATTCTTTGTTTGCTTTCCAAGGAGGGTTGACGTCAGTTAGGTTGCGGGTCGTAGTGAGAAAGTTGAGTGATGATGATGAGTTTCACAAGTATCACACATTAAAAAGTTTTGCTTTTAAAATTAAATGATTACTCTTAAGGACGGCGCCGGGGCCCGCATCTAGCTCTTTTGGCCCACGTACTCGAAGCTGGCACAATGGCGAGATAAGAGAATTTATAACACCATTCCAAACCACGTCGAGACTTGTAAACTTAGCAGACGCTAAAACTTTTATATCTACCCGTTTCACGTGAAAGATAGCTAACGATGTGAGTAGGTTGTATTTATTATGCTAATGACCGCTACGAACGAGCTTTTGAGTACAACTAAAATTTGTAGTACACGGCTGCAAAGGATAACGGGCATATAAGGACTAAAATAAAATACTAAAAAATAAAATGCATACATTTTGTTGCATAAAAAAGAAACAAGGATGTCCTTATTATTAAAAGAGATTTCCTACGAACATATTAAACGGATCAATAAAGTTTTTTAGTGTAGGAAATAACAGATAAAAAACTAAACATTCATGAGTTAATAACGTAAGATCAGCAACAGCTGATGTCAAGTGCAAAGAAACCAAACTCAATAAAGTAAAGGGTTCCGTACCTAAAGGGTAAAACGGAACCCTATTACTAAAACTCTGCTGGTGCTGTCTTTCTGTCTGCCTGTCTGTATGTCAGGAGGCTCTATCTCATGAACTGTGATAGTTAGACTGTTGCAATTTTGAACACAGAAATTGTATTTCTATTGCCGCTATAAGAACCAATATTAAAAACACAGAACAAAAAAATATTGTTCTCTAGTTCAACAGACACGATTTTTTGCCGTTTTAATGGTACGGATGCCTTCGTGCGCGAGTCCGATTTGGAATTAGCCATTTTTTTTTTTATATTCAAATCTCTTTTTGTGAATAGTGTTTGGGTTGTGGTGATCGTCCCATCTTTTAATGATCGAGAGCTAATAAGTTAGGTGAAAGTAGGGTAATAAGACTAATGGCCCATTTACATGGTGCCAGTTTCTTGCCTGTTGTATACAATTAAATTGAAGCAATAAATGATTTGCATGGTCTAAACAACAAATGGTCTAAACAATTATTGCGCGCAATTTATTGCATTCAATTATTGCTCTTGTACGTTCAAGAAAATGGCATCGTGTAAATGGGCCTTAATGCCTTAATAAAACAATTCCCAAATGTTAAACTTGTAAAATTAGTTACATCTCTGTACAGTTTTTATTAATTTTAATTACTGAACTATATTTAATAAATAAATATTGCATGAAGTTTTTATTTGTGTTATTGGAACCATCCATGTAATCCGTGTGTCGTGTGATAGTAAACTGTTTGTACGGCTTATCTGAGCAAAACACGGGTGATTCACCAAATATACGAACATGGGTAACGTTGGTATAAGTGTTTGTCTGTGTGTTACCGACGCGAACGTTTTTGTTTCCTATGCAGCGGCTCGGAAATATACTAAAAACATAATTATTTACACGAATGTGTAGGATACAGTGTAGGAAAAGATAACTCCACGCTTTTAAGGTGATTGTTCTCTGTCTTTACGTTGTATACTTACCGTTGCTTGTATCGACACATTACGACCATCTGTACTTATTGCTTATTATTTTCCAGTTTTCCAAGGGTTCTCATTTGTTAGAACGGTCGTCCATTTAATCCGGTCTTGAAACTTTAATGCACGGAACGTGTGCAAATAAAACCTGAGGATTTGGACATTGTGGTGTAGCATAAAAATGAATATTATAAAATTGAAACACACTCATATGGATGAATTGTTTATTCATATCATGTTTTGTATAAACATTGCTCTAGGCTGTTCTTGTGTTTGAGTGTAAATTGATACTTTCTTTCAGATAACTAATTCACCGTGACGCACGGTTCAAACCTGTTCTGATGTACACCACGCAATAAGGCCAAGCTACTGATATACAAGGCCAACCAATAAGGCCAGGCTGATATCCGACGTGTTATTTACTAATTAATTTATCTTTAAATACTGGTACTGTAAACAACAATATATCTCTGATATCAACGACAAAACCGATATTGTTTCTTTCTTTTCTTGTCTCTTTTTCTTCTCGGTGATTTTATATTTGCGAAAATACAATTTTAAATTTTCAATAACAGCTTGAAGGGAGCGAGATGAAATATTGCGATTTCACTTTATTGCGTTGCAGATTTGATTCAAGCGTCAAGGCCATCATGGAGTTCAATGTTATTCAATATTTATGAGTCCAGTCTCAAAATCTTCTGTTGGAAAACCGTTGGATTCTTTCCTTGAATTTTAAATTAATATTGTTATTCTCCAGTTTTTCAGTTTCTGTTTGTATTCCATTGCGTTGGGTGCACAATTTGTTTTCAATCTTCTTGAAGTTTATTCAAGTCTCTTAGAACAAATTGTGATAAAAACGAAATATGTAAGATGATTCGGATAACTATGATTGCTTTCTAAAAACAGAGATACATGCTATATATTGGATACTTTAATATTTGAAACTAATAGATAATAATAAACAATTATAAGTTAAAAGAATATAGTGAAAAAGTAAAAAAAGAGATATTTACCGCATTTGAAAGAAACGATAACATTTAGTATTTCTTATCTCCATATATAACCAAGACAGTCCGTCTGAGGGACGGAAACTTAATTTTTGTTATTAAACATTTACAACCATTTGACGGGCATCCTGCCAATCATCACAATAAAGTCAGTAAAATATATCTCAAACGCTGACATAAAAAATGATACCGAAATTACAGTAAAGATTCAGTGAGTTAATGTTTGAAAATTGAAATATAAAAATTTAGCATAAGAGAACTAAATGCGTTATGTATTTAGTTAATAATAAAAATAGGACATGTAAAAGCGACAAAACTTTATATTTACTAGTGTAAATGTTAATAAATCAGACATTAGTCTGATTTGAGAACAAACAAAATAAAAAATAATGCTTGCTGCATAAACTTTAGACTTACGGTAGTTTGTGAATTAAAAAGAAATATGACGCGTAAAATATGAAAACGATACGAGGATACAAGGATGGAGATATACATACTGGTATACGCTCAAACTGAATTCCTTCGGGCTATTCTATCAACAATAGTGCCATCAATAATAAACATCTGATTTCTAGAGTTTCCTTCATTCAAATCCTGATTACGTTGAAAACGACGCTTCTTTCCCGGCGTGTTATTACAGCCACGCCAAGAACGTCGTCCACCACAAGGACCGTGTGGTGGCACGGGCTTAAACACACCGTGGCCGTGATGACTCCCATGAGATGGATGCCGCCCTCCGTGACCGTTGTGGTGATGGTGTTTTTTGCATGGGCCCGAGGCGAGATCTAAACGGTGGCCCCTCCTTTCGTGGTGCCCGTGGAAATGTGGTGGGCTGGTGTGATGCCCACATTGGGGAGGTGGTGGGCCACAGTGCCGGCGCTTGTAGTGGAACGGTGGAGGGCTGCTGTGTTCGTGGCTCCGTTGCACGTCGTGGCATCCGCGTCGGGCATGCTGCCAGTGGTGCCAGTGGGAGTGAGCGTCGAAGTGACGGTAACAATGTCCCTTCATGTTAGAGCGGTTTCACTAGACTGCGCACTCGATTCAGAACTCGGCTTACTTATATAAATATCTTGCACAATGTTGTGCAATAGTACAAAAATTATTAATCGTATCAATTTCAGGGGAAAATGGGGGCTTAACGTGATTTTTGTACTGTGTATTTTTCATTTATATATGTATAATTATATACATGGTGTATATAACGGTTTAGAGAAAAAAAACTGAGGCAATACAACCTCGTGGAGTTTCAAACAATAGAAACATATTAATATTTATCTTTACTGTTGGTCTAAATTCCACTATCTTTGTATTTCTGTTCAATTTGTTACATAATTGAAGTTATTGCACAACATGATGCAATATCCCATGCATGATTCATGCAAAAATTGCACAATACTTAGCAAGTTTCTGTATCACAAAATAATTTATTGTGTTTAATCTCTGAAAAATATGAATATAATAGGTCTTTTATTTTGATTTTAAATTGCCATAGTTTTGACCACTTCAAGGCGTTCAACGTCACGGGCTTTTAAATCAAAATAAAAGGCAATAAAATTCGTATATTAGTTTTTTTTAGCCGATTCTCTGTTTAATAATAATAATAATCAAAACATGCTAAAGATGGGATATTTACTTTACTTGTATGCTGAGTAAAATATTTACCTTTAATGGAGCCAACAAAATTCTGATAGGTAATTTCGTCATTCGTAGAGATCCGAATGTCTGAATGGATACATGGTCCTTCGTTGATTAGACAGTAAATGGCAGACGTAGTACTTGTAAAAATAAAATAAGTATAGGTTAGAAATTCATAACAGACTAAAATAAGTAGATTTAATTAATATGAAAACGCCACGCAGCAGTAATGTATCGATACGGGTGATGTGCCAAAGTAGTTATACTTCATGTAATTGAGGGCTCACTCTTTCAGAGGTTTTGCATATTAATTTCGATTTTCAGAACACGGATCCGTTACAGAAAATGGGCCCCGCTTATCTCACTCACCAGACGAAACGCGAATGTTTAAATAATATTTCTTCACGCCGGGCTTCTGTCAGGTCGTGGTACTTCATACCTTCGGTAGTAGCTTTGCAGGAAATACTATGGCTTTCCACTATTACTAAAGTTGCTTTTTTATCGGGATTCATAGGTTTTATGTTGTGAATATTATAAAACAATAGTAAACAAAAAACACGAAGCTACAAATCACTCAGCACTGCCCACCAGTAACCGCATGCGGAAAATTAAAATTGCATACGTCGCTACATTACAAAGTGATGCGAGCCATGTTCACTATTTTAAACGTTTTCAACAAGTTCAATGATTTCGTATATAATTTGAATTATCTTAGTAATAGTCATAATATTCATTCAAATTATTCAAATTAAAGATTAAACCAGATCATCTGCATATGAAATATATTTATATTTTTGTTAACATATAGCTTTCCCGCATTACCTTTTAACCATAATGAACATAACATACAACAGGTACACAGGTACGAGCACGCTCTACCTCTCCGGATAGAAATTGATGTATGTACTGTAAATAAAAGTATAATGGGTGAGTGTATTTGTTCTCCCTTGATGCTATAGCGTTTAAAGCTATGTACGAGAACCAGATTCCGATAAAACATTAAAGAACAATAAACAATAAAGAATAAAGAACATTAGCTTATACGAGTACGCGGGGTTAATTTATAGAAAACTTTACGTCCTATAAAATCAACAACTTTAAACCAGCGTCTTTAATTACGATAAAGTTTCAATTTTCCTTCCTTCTCTGCCAGGCCCATTCGAAGTATTTGCGTCCACCCTTGGACTAAGTCTGGATGAATGACTGATCCATATAGAACATGTTCTTTAATAAAGTTATTATTTATTATTTTTAAATTTAGAGTTCAGTTCAAGGCTAAATTCTAAATAATAAAATGTTTTATTTGAGGAACCCAGCTAACCATTAAAAGTCTAAAAAAAGTAAATCAATTACTGTTACTTTTTTAAGCTAGATTAATTATTTTAAAAAAGGCTGCTCATTGCCATCACTAACTGCGGACGCATAATTTACGTAAATACAATAGATAAAACTAAACTAAGGACAATAAAGAAGACAATGTAAGACAAAAAATACAATGTAAAAGTACAATGTAAGAGAAAAACAGCAGAATTTCTTTATATTAAGCTTGCTTTCGAGATTAAAATTAAAGTATCGAAACAAAATAACGGAGTAAGTAGAAAGTGCATTACACGCTCCGAAGCGCCAGGTGGAGTCGCGTGACGTATAATTTCATGAAGCATGCCTCCGAACTGGGAGGCCCGCCTGTCGCCTTGGACGGGACTATCCATTAGACTACTAAGAAGTTTGAAATTTGAATTTTTTCATATTTTTATTCGGAACTTGACAGTTCAACGGTCATCGTTTGATGTAATCAGCATATCAAAGCAGATGAATCAAACGAATCTTTTAATTTCGGCATTCGAATATTGGACCGTACACACTTCACTTCACCACTTCGCCGTCACATACAGTGCCAGTGACGTACACAATAGCAAGTGATCCTCAAAGTGTGCTAACATCAGTTGTTCAAATATGTTTAGTTTGAAACGTAATGATTGTGAATTTCGTGATGGGGTTCATTTTACGCCGTGTCTTAACAACTTTGACTTCCCATATGAGACAATATCCCAGGATATAACTGAAACTGGATACGGCAAGCTTTGTGACAGGGAAAATGTTTGGAAATGTAGCATCTGCAAAAACTCCGCACCGAGCCCTGTACAACCGGCCACCACTAAAAGATTTTCGACAAACACAACGCCGTCTTTACCTAATTTAGAAACTGTTATGGCTATATATTTCTTAACTGCCCAGATGACCTCACTACCCATACTAGTAGATAATATAAAAAGAATTCAAGCTGAACTCGCTCGGTGTTGCTTCAGTGGTCTCCAAATTTCAAATTCTTAGTGGTCTCCAAATTGCAAATCTATGCCTCATTCATCATTAGAAAGAGAAGCAATGATAAAGTAACTTATACACCTATAATATCGAGTCAGTTCAGGTGTAGAGGCCTAGAAACCGACCTTCCGATTAGAGATCCCAGATTTGAATTCCAGTATCGCGTTTTTAAAATTTCACCCTGAGGGGAGGTAAAGTCAAAGTTATCCTTTGAATCAAATACTCTTAATAATTTAAAATACATAATCAACACAATGTTATATCACTAATCTTGCAAATAGCAACAGGCTTCGATAGCGGTCATTTTATTATGTGCGTATTGAATAGTACAGTAAATGAAAACATGTTTTCATTTACTGTACTATTAACACAAATCATTCGGTGCTGCCATTACACTGTCGCCAGCCACCGCATACCTGTAATTAAAATCTCCGTTGAGTGATTCGAAATTGTTTGAGTGTTTTTTGTTAAAAACAAAATTAATACACCTAAGTAATAGCAACCAAAAAACAAAACAAATTAGCGATCTTATAATAATTTTTTTGTGCTTACGAAAACGTTTTTGTTCAACTTTCACATCTTCGGGTGTAGGAATTTGTGATTAGCGTATGCTGAACTAATGCACGGGACTCTTTTCGTAACGTCTAATTGAACTATTTCGCTCCGAAAGGCGCAACGGATCTTTTTAAATCTCATTGACATTAACGGCATGGTTGATGAGATCACAGTGGATGTTGCGTAATAATCTTGAAATAGGTGTTAGGTTAATTACATGGGATAGGTAGAGGTGGACAAATTACGAGCGGCTTATGGCTACTACATAAACAATTGCCCGCACAGGCGGCAATTGTTTACTTACTAGCCATAAGCAAGATCAAGATGACCTGCTTGTAATATAATGGCATTGTTGTTACTTTTTCATTAATTAGGTGATCCGCTTGTTATTTTTAAATGATGGTATTGTAACCTTTTTATTAATTACTGATAATCACCTTGCCCTTATTGCATAGATAGAAAATATTAACAATAATGAGAAGTAAATTAATTTTGGAGACCTAAATAACACGAATGTAGCAATTGTAAAGTTTTCCACACACTTAGTTTAATGCCTTTTTGATAGTACAACTCATAATAAATACTTCAACTTTATTTCCGACTGGAATGAGTATTATAGTTAATTTAATCTAAATAATGATATATTATATTATATAAATTAAATTATTCTTAGTTTTCATTTCAGTTGACGCTCATCCGATAAGATCAACGAAGTACTTAAGTCAGCCAGTACTTAAACATCATCATCATTTGAAGAATAAAAATTGTAAATGGCTATAATGGCTGTTGTTTGAATGGCTGAGCCAAAGCGCTTATCCTCAACGAGTCAACGACTGCATCGCCACTTACCATCAGGTGGGATGGCAGTCAAGCAATGGCCGGTTTCGAATTAAAAAATATGTTGTATTTTGTTTATTTAAAACACGGCGTACGGATCCTTTACGGATCCTACATTCAAAAAAGACGCGACCTTATTTTCGTAAACACATTCGTGTTAATTAAAATCAAAATAAAAAAAACAAAAAGGGGATTTTCATTTTTACTATATTTTCTTTTAAAACAACATGATAAGAAAATATTGAGAAATAGAAAATCGAAACGTGTGAAAGTAAAAAGCGTGTCAAGGAGTAATGACATTATTAACACATTGTGAGAGATACCTGAAAGATGCGAGTCATAACGCAGTCAATTTCTAGTAATGTTTCGGTATCTATCCCATGTCAGCACTAGACAGTGACATCTTACGTTCAGCGCCGCTTGTATCGAAAACTCGTTTCGTCGATCGCTTTTAATTTCCGTCGCTTAAAGACATCGTGATTCTCCAGTCTGCGCTAACACTAAATTACGCGGCGCCAAAGTGTCTTCGCTTATGTAGCTCTGAGATTTTGGCGTGAGCTGCATCTCACCAAACGAGGCTATTACTTTTAGCATGAAATATGTTGTGATATCCTTGAACAAGTACTGCATAAGGTGGAATGACATCATTTTTGCGAATTTTTCATTCATTAAATATGTCTGAGGGTTCCAATGGAGGACGGACATTATTTTTTAATTTAATGCTCGTTTGCCACAGTTGCAACGCTATCGGTTTCAGTTACTCACACGGGATAAGTCGGTCCACTATACAAG